AAAGTTTATTGATTTATTACACTTACACATTACGCTTTTATAATTATTAGTTGTAAAACGGTCACCAGGCAATATTATCGTTTATCGCAATAAATTTTGAGACAATTAATCGCCCAGCAAAATTTGTTATCRTGACAGGCCTACTGTGGAATAAAAAGAGCTGCTAAAAGTATAAACAACTGTGTTAAACCATTTTCATTTATTCAGAAGACACACTGTCGCGCACCGTATGCTTCCGTATACTTCTGGAAATCTTTATACTTTTCAGAACCGGGTCGGTTTTGGTCTCACTTTGTTGCAGTTTTCTCTGTTCAGTTAAAAAGTGAGACGAAGCTTCAGATAAAAACAGAATCGCTCACAACCTTTCTGCCAGAAGAGTCTGCCTCAGTGCATGCTGGGAAAACCACTGAGCTCCTCTGGTTTAACAGACAGCACCATAACTGACAAGGTGTCCGTCTGTTAATATATTCACACGATTTTGGGGGTTGTTTTAAAAATGTTTTAATGTTCGTTTTAAATCAGATTTGATAATGGAGTGGGACAAAAATAAAACAAAAACCTGCTCAGTCCTACCATCACTCCTGATATGACAGCTGAACTCCTCCACTTCTAGCAGATAGACTCACCCTGACCCAGAGGAACCTTTCATCTTCATCCAGTTCATCATGGTCTGGGATCAGGATCCCAGTTTGGAACCTCCCCAGCACTGAAGGTCGCCACCAACATCTGAAAAACATTTGTTTTCACAAATAAAACCATTTTTTATGTTGTTGGTTTGATGACTGAAAGCCTCTTCAGTATTTTTACTACTTAAAGTCGTATAATAAATAACACAAAAACTGTACATTGAAACAAATTATCATCAGTCCTCTCATCGATTAAACTTAGCGACATGCTAACAAACTTAGCAACATGCTAACAAACCAACCATTAGCCGTCTGACTCTCCCTGGGTTCGTTTTTCCGCTGTCCATCGTGTTAACAAAATAACTTCAAACAACAAAGTGTAAAAAATTATCAAATCAATTAACTTKTTTTGGTTTATTAAGTCAATTTTATCTTACTGCCTACGCTTCCGACGAACGTCCACAGCTAATTTTAAACACCTGTGTTGCTCAGCTCCTGCCRCTGCCAAGCGTGTGTTCGATTTAGTGTCACTGGTAGCTTAGTGGGGCGGGTACACTTTCACTAATAAAAGCCAAATTTTATCTTGATATCTGTCAAATTTACCCAAGTACACTTCGCTGCAGCATGCAGAACGGGGCGGTGACAGACCTTTCCGTCGGTCCCATTCCTTATATGGAAATGGGACTATTGCATTCCGAACATGAAGGGGGCGCTAATGACACTATTTTCTATCGAACACTATCAACATCAGTGTTGCCAGGTGTACGATAATTATCGTA